TGGATGGACATTGAAGATATTGATATGTGAGATAGTTCAGACACAAAAGGACAGCTAATATTATGAGCCTACTAGTATGAAATATCCAATAGAAACAAATTCTAGAGACAGATAAAGTAGATTTATCAATTATTCAATGATTGCCAAAAGCTTGGGGAGGGGGTGCGGAGGGAGTTAGTGTTTAATGGGGTTACTTTCTATTTAAGATGACTAAAAATAAGTTCTGAAAGTGGTTCCACAAGACTGTGAATATCATAAATGCTACTGAAATGGTTAAATATAAATTTTTCTGTCTGGGTCTGGAGAGATAATACAGCTGGTAGGGCTCTTGCCTTGCATGCAGCCAACCCAGGTTCGATCCCTGGCACCCCATTTGGTCCCCTGAGTATTGCCAGGAGTAATTTCTGAGCACTGGTTATAAGAGTAACCCCTGAGTGCTGACAGATGTGACACCTCCAAAATGAAAATATAAATAAATAAATAAATAAATGAAAAGTTCTTTTCTGTACAGAACCACAAAGGTGGTTTAGCACAGAGGTGAACAGATAAAGTTGTTAATTTATACCTGACAAAGGTTTGGTCAACCCCACCCTCTTTTCAGAAAATAAATCACTTCCTCTGGGGGGGAAAAAAAAGTACCCGCCAACCCACCTTCTTTGAATAAACCAGCAGAAAGCTCTCTCTAACTGGGTCAGAGACCACTGCTGCCCCCTAATTGTTGCGACACTCCCTCCACAACACAGGGCAAGGCAGAGTGCCCACTGGGGTAAACATTGATCTACACAATGGAATACAATGAAATTATAAAAAGTAAGGAACCTATGAATCATGAAAGGACATGGAGGAAACAAAAAGGCATATTAACAAAAGTAAAAAGATCCAATCTGCAAAGGCGAGACAGTAGAATCTTGATTATTTGTTAATCCAAAAAATGGAATATTATAAAAGTCATTGAAAGGCCAGAGGTGGACAGCGGAGACAGCTCCATATCCAGCATGGTAGCCCCTGAGCACTGCCAGGTGTGATCCCCCAAACCAAAACCCAAACAAGACCAGTAGTTGCCAGGGGCTGGGAGAAGGGAGGGATGAATAGATGGAACAAAGAAAATCTTTAGGCCAATGATGCTGCTCTGTATTCCTTCATTGATGTATATGTTCTTAGGTATGGGGCACAATCAGCGGCACTCAGGGCTCACTCCTGCCTCTGTGCTCAGGAATCACTCTTGGCTCTGTGCCCAGGGATCACCCCTGGCTCTGTGCTCAGGGTCACTCCTGGCTCTGTGCTCAGGAATCACTCTTGGCTCTGTGCTCAGGGATCACCCCTGGCTCTGTGCTCAGGGCTCACTCCTGGCTCTGGGCTCAGGGCTCACTCCTAGCTCTGTGCTAAGGGTCACTCCTGGCTCTGTGCTCAGGGCTCATTCCCAGCTCTGCACTCAGTGCTCACCCTAGATTTATGCTCAGCGCCACTCCTGGCTCTGCAGTCAATCCTGGCTTTACACTCAGGGCTCACTCATGGCTCTGTGCTCAGGGATCATTTCTGGCTCTGCGCTCAGGGCTCACTCCTGGCTCTGTGCTCAGGGCTGATTGCTGGCTCTGTGCTCAGGGCTCACTCCTGGCTCTGCATTCTGGGTCACTCCTGGCTCTGAGCTCAGGGCTCACTCCTGGCTCTGTGCTCAGGGCTGATTGCTGGCTCTGTGCTCAGGGCTCACTCCTGTCTCTGTGCTCAGGGCTCACTCCTGTCTCTGTGCTCAGGGCTCACTCTTGGCTCTGTGTTTAGGGATCACTAGTGTCTGGGTGATATGTGGTGTTGGAAATTGAACAGGGCAAAATAAGTGCCTAAGCCCTGTAGTGTCTCTCTGCCCCTGCATTTTTCATAACCCACAGAGTATGCACCATTCATGCTCGATGGAAAATTATGAACTTTAGCTAATATAATAATGAAGCCAGTAAATCACATAACAAAGGGAGCCCGAGGGGATTCATAGGGCCCTGCGAGCTAATTGCTCACCCCTCTGTAAACCAGAACTGTTCTGAAAATAAAACCTACTAATTCAAATGAAATTCCATCTGGAAATTCCAGTATTGCATTTAAGGGGAAAGTGAGGATTCCAGAAAGCCGCCAAAAGCCTAGTCATGAGAGGAAGAGGAGGGAACTTCTTGGAGAGACGGACTGGGCTTGGGCTGGTGATTGGCAACACATGAGGGAGGCCTGGGTTTGACCTCCTGGAACCACATGGTCTCCTCAGCACTGCCAGGAAAATTTAAAATTTAAAAAACAACTTTTAAATAAATAATAACAAAGCCTTCCCAAATAGTTCCCTAAAAATGAACACGTCATTGTTATTAATGTTTAATGAGGATAAATAAAAGACCAAGTCTCAGAGCGCCTGGGGTCAGTGGCTGAGCTGACCATTTATTTATTTATTTATTTATTTATAAATAAACAAGACCCCATCAAATTCTTCTCTGTTCTAAACTGCCCCATCCTCCATTCTTCTGAGCTGACCAGCTCTTCTTTGTCTCCCTTAGGTTGGTCCTTCCCCAGAATGTACATTGTGCATTGTGTGTGTGTGTGTGTGTGTGTGTGTGTGTGTGTGTGTGGTTTGGGGGCCACCCTCGGCAATGCTCAGAGTTACTCCTGGCTTTGCACTCAGGCATCACTTCTGGTCGTGCTCAGAGGACCATGAGGGATGCTGGAGATCAAATCCAGGCCAGCCACATGCAAGGTCCATGCCTTAAATACTGTACTCTCACTGGGCCCAGAAAGTACATTTCTAACTTCAGGCTTCTTCCAGCCCTGACTGTCTGCCTGGAAGATGACAACGGGTATTTTCTTATGTGCTCAGGGATGCCAGCCTGTTGGCCCCACAGCCTCTGTCATACAAGGGTGCACGGAGCTTTATCCTGTCCAGCAGACATGAGGACCCCACAAGCTGGTCCACCACCTCCTCCCTGTCCTTCCTTCCATTCACCCATTCTCAGACGGAAAAGCTGAGGCGCTGACCCCATGGAGGCGGTGCCAGCTGGAGGTCAGACCTGCGTGCCCGATGAACATAGCGGTAGGTAAGGTGCTACGTCCAGTCAGGGCTATGAGGGCTGGCGAAGGGTTCTGGGAGCAGTGCGGCCCCCCTGAGCCCAGCAGGTGCTCAGTCGATGGATGGACCTTTTAGGTTCACGGGCCAGAAGCAAGGCTGTCCATGGAGCGGGGCCAGCACTCTGCGGCGAGCGCCCCGGCCTGTGGGCCACAAGCCAGCGAGGCCTCTGTTCCCAGTGTCGTGAGTCACAGCTGCTGCCAGGGCCCGAGCTCCCTGGGCCTGGTGCGTTCTGTGGTCGCTGTGCTTACAGCCACACCCAGACAGCCTGGGAGGCACAAAGGAGCACGCAAAGGAAGCGGTTTCCGTCCCGGGCCTGATACACAGTCCCAGACCATTCCTAAGAGCTAAAAACAAAAGCTCTGGCAGAAAACCCACTGGAAGGCCGCCGGTGCCAAGCTCTGCCTCGCCCACTGCCTTACCCAGATGCTTCGTGGCTAAGGCAACCCACGGCCGGTCATTCCTGCAGGAAGCCGTTTCTCAGTCCACACCCAACACTGACCTGCCCTCCCGCTGCCCCTAGCAGCCTCCCAGCACCTACCCCTGTGTCTTCCTCTGGGCTATCACCGTTCCTTGCTGCCCTCCACACCCCAGGCCTCCACCCACTGGCCAAGATTCCAGGGAAGGTCCCAAACTGCCAGCCTGGGTGCAAAGTCCAAGGATCTCCTCTGGAGCGAGCTCCTGGGCCCAGATGAACTGCTCTGCAGTATGAGGCAGAGACTGTTGGACAGGAACAGCGACAGCTGCGGCCTCTCAGGCTCGGCGGCTCTGCCCCACGCTACCTCCCGAGGCCCTAACCTTCAGCAACTTGTCCTAGCGGCCCAAGGCAAGGCCCAAGCTAGGTCGAGGTGGCTGGGAGCGCGGGCCCCACCTCCTGTGCCCATCATGCTCAAGGTCTCCCCCCAACTCCCAACCCGAACAGAGAGAAGGGACCAGGGGCCAAGACTGGATGGCTGGAGCTCAGCCACTGGCCCTGGGTGAGACCTGCACCATGTGCTCTCAGACTCCACCCACCCAGGATGCTCCAGGGCCTATCCCTGCTGTATGGGAATGCCCAGTACACCCAAGCATCCAGGAGGGACCACCAGTAAAGAGTTCAGGGGAGCAAGGCTTAGTGCTCCTGACCTAAGAGCGGCACCAGGTTCCAGCCCGCAAAGCCCTCACATGCCAGGCCTTGGTGAGATTGTCTGTGGGGCTGGGGGCCAGCACAGGGACTTCTGCGATTTCCTGGGAGTGACCGTGGCCTCTCTGAGCCCCAGAGAGGACACTCCTGATCTAGGGCAGCCGGATCTGTCACCACCACTGCCCTTGGGGGTCCTACACAGGGATCTGTCACTGCCCAGCACTACACAGTGAGGGAATCAGTCGCCGTCCACAGCCCTCGGGGCCACCACATAGGAGAATCCTCAGCTGAGCATTGCCAGGTGGGCAGTGGGGTCTCCAGTTCTGAGGAGCACTGGGAGGATGTTTGGGTTGAAAAAGAAGCTGCAGGGGCTGGGGACCCCCAGGCGGGCGGGTACCCGGGGGAGGGGTGGAGGCGCCTGTCCCGATCAGTCCCCGGAACCTGTCCCAGGGTGGGTGTGCGTGTCCACCGCACCAACCTCCTCCCAGGAGCGCACACCTGCATGCAGCCGCGCCCAGGTTGCTCCTGACAACACGGCAGCAGCGCAGGGTCCCGCGGGGGCGGTCAGCACTGTCCGCTCGCCAGGCCCCGACCGCAGCCGCCCCCTGGCCCCTCGCGGGGTCAGACCCCCTCCAGAGTCTGAGGGGCACGGGGGCCGACTACAGGCCAAGGTCATGGGCCGCCGCGTGCGGGAGCAGCCGCCGGGGCGTCACTCGCGGCGTCACCCGGGGTGGGGGAGCTCCTGTCCCGGGATGCGGGACACCACCCGGTCCAGTCCGCGCTCACCTGTCATGGCGGCAGCCCGGCCGGTCCCCGCCCGGCCGCCCCGCGATCGTCCGCCCGTCAGCCGCCCGCGGGTCCCGGGGACTGTCGCCGGCCGCGGGGCCCCACCCCGCCTAGCCACGCCCCTTCTCGCTCAACCCCGCCCCCTCAAGCCCCGCCCCTGCCCCGAAGCCCCTCCCCGGCGTCATGGCCGCGCCAAACGCCGCTGGGCCCGCCCTGTTCCGGTCGGCCGGCGCCGGAGCCCGAAACTCCGCCCCTCCAGGCCCCGCCCCCTCCGGTTCGGGCGGCTTCCTGGCGACCGCCCTGAACTGCGATCCCTGAGCCCCGCCTCCTCGGGCTAGCTCCGCCCCCGGCTAAGACGCGCCACTCCCACCTCCTCCGCTTCCTGCTGCGCGGAGCCGAAGTCTCTCTCTCCGCCGGGCCCTAAGCCCCGCCCCCGCCCCGTTTCAGCCTATGCTAGAGCGACTCTCCTCTCCGTGGCCCCGCCCCATCCCCGCTCAGCCCCGCCTCAACCCAAGCTCTCTGGCTTTCTCATCTCTTCCGCCTTGTCCCACCTCCGAAGTCCGGAATGAGGAAACTGAGGTTGCCAGAGAGGAAGAGACTTACCCAAGGTCTCACCGGCCAGGCTGTGGGGGATACGGAAACCAGGCCTGGTGCAAAAGGCTGACTGGCATTTTGCCAGCTGAGCCCGTCGGGATCGACTGGTCCAGAGATAACTTTCCCCGATAAAGGAACCCACATCCACTGTTAGAGACTCAGCCTAGTGGGGCAACCGGACATGGTTCCACCAACTCAGCACCACCAGGCTTTATACACCGGAGAGGCTCAGAGCAAGCATGACGTTATGTGATGTTTTTTTTACCAGCTTCCTTTTTTCAAAACCACCACATTTGACTGTGTGGGTGGGCACAGATAAATGGCAGATGCCCAGCTTGTGTGAGATCAAGCCTTGAGTACTGCAGGCTCAGTCAGGCATGGGGCTTTACTGGAGGCCAGCAGACTTCAGCCAGGGTCCCAGCCAGGAGGAAGCTGGACACAGCGGGAGGTGTGGAAGTGGGCAGACAGGTGGGCTCTGGAGAGATGAGGAGGGAGCAGAAAAGCCACCGAGAAGCAGAATCAGGGCTTTGGGGGTGGAAAGGATGTCTCTGGAGGCTGAGCAGATCTCATCTTCCTGCTAGTCAGCAGGACACTGTAGGGAGACTGAGTCCCCCATCCCGTGCTGCTTCCTGAGATACAATGCTGAGTCCCAGCTGCCTGGTGGGAAGGAACCACAGGCCACACATGGTGTTTCACTGAGACTCAGCCGGGGTCCTGGGCAATCAGTAGGTATCAGGCTGGTGAAGCTTCAAAGATGTTCCCAGAAGCACAGCCTGGTCTCTGCTAACTGTGCTCTGGGGCCAGGGACCCCTCCTCCAAGAGCCACCAGTGGTCCCATAGGCAACATGCTCTGGGAGACGAGGTATGCTAAGGACTGTTGCATAGGTCAAGGGCACCACTGGGATTCCTGGCTGGTGACGGTCTCCTGGTGACTCAAGTTACTTGAGCTGAAAGCCTGGATTTTGCCCTGCTTCTGACCTGGCTTCTGTGGGTGTGACACAGCCTGCTCCCTGCCATCATGCACACAGTAGGCATGTCACTGGCATGAATCCCCATACCCTTTCCCAGCCTCAGAATATTGTGTTTGTATGGGGTAGATCCACAGCTGGGCCCCTGACCCATCTGCCTAGCAGAAGTCCCCACCATCACCCCAACATCTCCTGTGGGTCAGGAGTATGCATCTGTGTGAGCCCCTGAGACTTGGGGGGCTGCCATGCACGGTGGGTATACCCCTCAAAACCCATGTATTGGAGCATAACACCAGACTGTCCATGTTTGGAAGAGAAGGGGGGTTGTGAAGATATCCGTGGGGGTTAGAACAAGGTCCCAAAGGTTCAGGGTCTGAACTTGCTCTGACTCCCTCCCTCTGCGTGTGCCCTAGGACACCTCTGTGAAGGTTCACACTCGGAGGCCCCAGGCCTGCAGCTCTGGCCCTGGGCCCGGACAGCAGCTGCCGCCCACGGGGTCCATCTGCTCTTCTGCCTGCTGAGCTGACCCAGATGTGGGTGTCGGCTGCTGCAGGCTGGTCTACAGATCTCTGAGAAGGTCAGAGGCATTCTGAGAAGATCACTGAGGGACAGGTCATGTGACTTTTCAAGCACAGGGGACAGGAGAGGGGAAGCCCTGCTCAGGGTCCCTAGAGACAGCACTGGAAGGTGCTTCTGGAACGACTGGCAGAGGTCTGTCGGGGGTTAGCTTGGCTCTTCCTGCTTCTTCCAGGGCCAGGAACCTCTGTGATGTCTGTGGGAGGCTGTGGCTCCCCCACTCCTGGGCTAAGTGGCCTCTAACCTGGGCAGATCCCAGGCCAAGACATAGATAGGGAGGGGACCCCAGCTGTTCTTGGAGTGAGAGATCCTGCCCTGCAGAGCGCCCCCTCCTGGCGACTCCCACATCCTTTCCCTCCATGCCCTCCTGAGGAGTGGGGTCCCTGGCTGTGCCCTTCACCCAACTCCTGGCCCAGGCTCCAGGACCAGAGGCCCCGCCCCTTGCAGGAACCGCCGATCCTCCTGCCCGGCCGGCCTTTGGCCCCTCACCTTGTCAAGGACAGGGAAGTAAAGAGCTTGAGGTGGAAACCTTAGCTAGCACAAGGGGACCAGGTGCCTTCTCAGTCCAAATCCCTGCTGAGGTGCCAGAAACTGCTGACAGACAACAAGGAACTGCTCCCCACCTCTAGTGACCAGTGTCTGCCTTGCCCCTCACTGCACCCGGAATATTGGAGGGTGCCTGGCGCTCTATAGGAGCTAGGGGAGGGTGGCCAGGCCCTGCCTCGGGAACCCCACAGTGCTGTGGGTGGGCACTGTGTCCCCAGCCCCCAGAGCATGCCCTGAGGCCAGCATCTGCTTGTAGGCACCCCACCTCTGGCCTCACAATCTCATCTCAGATCCTCCCCAACAGTGGGGGTGTTAGCGCACCTTCCACTCTCTAGGAGGCCCCGATGGCCTGAGACAAGAAGGCTGCAGCAGGGTATACTTGGAAGGGACAGGAAAACATGTCGGGTGGCCTGGCTCAGAACCTCCTCTGAGCCCTGTTCAGGCTCTGGGGCCTCTGGGGAAGGTGGTGGACAAAAGTCAGTCCCTCACCTCAGTAGCCTGATACCCTGAACTGTGACAGGCCAGAGCCCAAACTATCTTCCAGAGTGGGGTTCAGCCCCACTATGTGGGACCAAGAGGCAACCAGGCGGTCACATGCAAATCAAGCGCCTCAATAACCCCTATACTGCTCCCCAGCCCCCAAAGCCAAGCTTGACCTGGTGTGGGAGAGATGTGCGGCTCAGCCAGTGAGGGGGATACTCAGGGGACAGAGGCGCAGGGGTGGCTGTAGACGGAGCACCAGCTCATGCTAAACAGAACAAATGCACCCCCTGGGAGCAAGCAGGGTCCAGCAGGAGCGTGGCAGGATGTGACAGGGCAAGCCCACCGCCTCCCGCACTGAGCAGGACGCGTGACTCTAGGCCTGGAAGGCCAGGCCAGCACTTGGGGGACTCTCCTGGTGGCCGTGACCCCACCAGGGCGGTGCCGACAGCAGCAGCACCCCACTTGCCAGCCGGCCAGTCTGTCCTGTGGCGGCTGCACCTCAGCCAGCCACCAGACCAGGAGGACAGGCGGCTTCTGCCACGAGGCCGGAGGTGCTGCTGCAGTGAAGGGAAGCAGAGACAGACACTGACCTCTGTACTTGCAGCATCAGAAACGGCTGTTTCACACCCTCCCAGCATTTTCCCGGAGTGGCCGAGTCTCTGCTCACAGGCCCCACGGCCCTTCCCCCACTCAGCTCTGCAGCCCCAAGTTCACTGAAAATCCCCGCTTGGGTCCTGGCAGGGGTGCATCGGAGCGAGCCGGCAGCTGGGCTGTGGTTCTCGTGGTACCTTCAAGGCAGGGCGTCTCTATAAACAGCTACAGCCAAGGCCCTCCCCAGGCCGGAGAGTCCCAGGAGTCCCCAGTTGGGCCCTGGATGGCTCCCTGAGGCAGAAACGGACGGGCCAGTCCTGAGGCCACAAAAGGCCCCAGTGTGTTGGCTCAAGTGGCCCAGCCTTCATCAGCCCAGCGCATAGGCCATGGGTCTGGGCCCCACGACAGGCCTGGGGATGGACAGAGGTGGCCCCAGGGCCGCTGCGTGCACCATCACACCTCGGGAGCTGATGAAGTTGCTGGCATTCAGGGGGTCGGGCGCCGTGCTCCAGGGGTCCTTGTTCATGGCCAACTCACGGGGGCCTTCCCCAAGGTCACTGTGGAGAGAGGAGAAATCAGCTGAGCTCGGGGGTTTGGGGGGTAGCTCAGCCCCAACTCCCATCATAAAGCATCTTTCTTTCTTTTTTTTTTTTTTTTCTTTTTGGGTCACACCTGGCAATGCACAGGGGTCACTTTTGGCTTTGCACTCAGGAGTTACTCCTGGCGGTGCTCAGAAGACCATATGGGATGCTGGGAATCAAATCTGGGTCAGCTGTGTGCAAGGCAAATGCACTACCCACTGTGCTATCGCTCCAGCCCTGGAGCATTTTTTAAATATATATAATAAAACAATGTGGAAGAAAAAGATAAAAAAAACAAAACGTGAGGACACACTGGCAGGGCCACGGAGACGAGCTCTGAAGACTCCCGTGTGGTACTTTGTGGGCAGAAGCCCAGGTTCCATCCCCGGTACCACACGGTTCCCCTGGCAGTCCCCAGAAAAAAGCCTGGCAGAACAGTGATGGAGCGGAGATCACTCTCTTGCCACCCCCGGCCACTAAGTGACTCAAGCTGGACCTGCTGGACAGAGGCTCCAGGCCAGAGGCTGTGACTACTCCACTGAGGACCTTCAGCCCCAGCACTGGGCCCAGCACGACGTCAGGGGCAGCACCACAAACAATCTCTATTGTGGCCATGATACCAATGGCGACTTGGAGCGGTGCCCACTGTGGAGAGCAGGCAGCAGAGGCCACGATGGTCTGAGGTGGAAGCCAGCTGGGAAGACGTGTGGGTGTGAGGGCATAGCCCAGGTCAGGTGTGGCCACAGTGTAGAGTGTGTGTCTCTATGAGTGTCTGTTTGAGTCTGTGAATGTGTGTTGAGTGTGTTTGAGTAGGAATCTTTGTCTGTGTGTGTGTGTGTGTGTGTGTGTGTGTTCAGAGACGGAGAGACAGAGAGCCTGTGGTGAGAGGGAGAGAGGGGAAGGCAGCCACGGGTGGGGAGCAAGCCCAGTGCACACTCAGGACCCCTGTGGCTCCAGAAGCTTCCACTTCCCTGAAGGTTTGTCTTCAGAGAGAGACAGGTAGGGGTACCCCAGGGAGCCAAGCCCCGCCTCCCACCCCAAGGATGAGGATGGGTCTCCTTGCTGCAGCCTGCAAGCCTGGTTCCCACACGGATTCCCGCCCTACACCCAGGCCCGGCACACCTGGTGAAACTGTGGTTGTCATGTGCCTGGCTGGGCCAGTTCCTGGGCTCGCTGCTGCCACCTGCAGCAAAGCCCTTGACACCCAGGTAGGCGGCCTGCACCGTCTCCAGGTCCTCTCCGCGAAGCTGGAGCCACAGTTGGGCCGCCCTGGGGAGACAGGAGGGGGTGGGTCAGAGGCCTCTGTGTTCCGGCTGTCCCCTTGCAGGTGGGCTGTGGCGGGTGGGGCCCCCCGCCCGGGGCATCTGGACCTCATTGTCATGGGGTCACCGTTGCTCACCCTGGCACACTGTCCCCTGCCGTGTTCTAGACATAGAGCACACACAATCTCTTCCCTAAGTGAGACTTGCCAACACCCAGCAAGGCAGCAACAAAGGCCCACAGTGGGCCAGCTAATACACCCAATTTGGCAGGGGGTCAGGGGATAGGGGGGAGGGGCATGGAGTCTTGGGGGCGGGAGAAGGGTCTACGGGTGGTGGGTGTGACGCTGGAATCATATGCATGAGAAACCATGATTGTAAATCACAGAATCTCAATTTTCACAAAATGGTCAGGGCATTTAATGGAGATAATGCCCAGCCCCTGGCCCTCCCAGAGCCCCCCACAGCAGGACCCCAGCACGCTGGCACATGCCTGTGACCCGCAGCTTTGCTGAGGCCCGTGAGCATAAGTCCCTGAATCCTCCATGGCTGGATGCTCAGTGTCACCCCACGGGGGCCCCTTCCGGCTCTCTGCCTCTGGGCCACACTCCCACAGGGCAGGGGGCAATGGCAACCGTGTCTCACCCACCTGTCAGCCCTTTGCTGCTCACTCCTCTTCATGCACCGCATGAGGCAGCAGGTGAGGAAGGCCATGGACATGAGCAGAATGATGGCTGAGCTGACGATGGACGCCACCACGGCCACCTTGAAGCCGAAGGTCTCATGCGCAGGCAGGGCTGCAAAGAGATGCCAAGCCTTGGGGCCAGGGCCTGCCCAGTGTGACCCCAGGTCTGTATGGGGGTCACTGAGCCAGGACAGAAGACTGCACCCTTCCACACACACATACTGAGGATGGTAGAACAGGGTCTAGAGGGTGTGTAGGAGTCAGTGGTAACAGCTCCTGGCATAGCACTGCCAGAGGCTAGGTGACATGGTCTGACCAACTGGTCACACCAGGTTCTCGAGCTAGTTCTGGACCCCAGAACCCCTCCAAGATGGGCAAGGCCTACTTTTCCTCTGTACCCAAGTGCCACTCACGTCCCCTCCAGCCCTGGTGGGCAGTGCATGGTCAGGATGAAACCACAAGTCCAGCCTCTCCAAGCTGCTGTGGCCACAGGGACGCATTCTGGCCACAGGAGCGCTAACCCTGATGATCCTGAGGCTTTGGACTGAGTCCCCCCCAAAGCCCTTTCCCACCACAGTGCACAGAGGCACTTGCTCTGGGAGGCTCTGACGCAAGGAGAACCCAGAAAACCAGCCCCTCTCTCAGACTGGGGGTCCACCAGGTATAGCCCAGGGCGCGGTAATCACCGGCCCTAGAGGTATGACACATGGAAGAGCCTATCCAGGTCTATGGACACATGGAAGAGTGAGTGAATGAATGGATGGATGAGTAAATGAGCAAGTAAATGGATGAAAGAGTTAATGAATAAATGGGGGAGTAAGTCAATGAATAAGTGAATGAGTAAATGAATTACACGAGCAGATGAATAAGTGAATGAATGAATGAATGAGTGAATAAATGGATAAGTGAATGAATAAATGAATGAATAGATGGATGGATGAGTCAGTGGGTGAGTAAATGAATGAGTAAACACGTGATTGACTCAATGAGTGAATGAATGAGTGAAAACGCATCCTACTGAGACGGGACTGCTCCCAGTCCCACAGGACAAGCAGAGCGCAGGTTGGAGCTGGGACCCAGAGCAGCGGCTGGGATAGGACACCACACCTGGGTGCAGGCAGCCCTCGCACCCTCCGCCATGCAGGGATCAGCCCTCCTGCCCCCCCTCCCCCCAGGGTCCAGGCCTCACGCTTGCACACGGGAGCATCTGAAGACCATTCGGTGAGGTTCCCCTTCCAGACACAGGTGAGGAGGCCGGATCCCAACATCTGGTGGCCCGAGGGGCAGTGGAAGACAAGCATGGTGCCCACAGAGGTGCCATTCCCACGGAGGACCTGGATGTTCCCCCTGGGGGGTGACTGCAGCTGCCTGCATGTGCCTGGGGATGGAGAGAGGGGACACAGCATGAGGGTCCACCTGGAGGGCAGGGAAGGCCCCCTGCTGGGACAGGCGCCCCGGCCCCTCCCGAGAAGGTCCCAGGACCATCTTGAAGTGGCACCCACATGGCCCGTCTCTGTGGACAAAGGTAGGGCTGAGTCCCTTTCTCTTTTTTTGGATTTTGGATGATACCTGGCAATGCTCAGGACTTACTCCTGGCCCTATACTCAGGGATCACTCCTAGTGGGGCTCAGGGTACCACCCGGGGTGCTGGGGATTAAACTCAGGTTGGTCGTGCAGAAGGCAAGTACCCTACCCACTGTACTGTGGCTCTAGCCCTATGAGTCCCACTTTAATGAACAAGATTTTTTTTTTTCATGTTAAGTGAAAGACACAGATCTGAAATCTGGAATATGCGTGAGGAGATGAAAGCAAGCACAGGGGACGGAGTGATAGCACAGCGGGTGGGGCATTGCACATGGCCGACCCGGGTTCAATTCCATATGGTCCCCTGGGAACCACCGGTAGTAATTCCTGAGTGCAAAGCCAGGAGTAACCCCTGAGCATTGCTGGGTGTGACCCAGAAAGCAAAAAAAAAAAAAAAAAAAAAAAAAAAAAAGAAAGAAAGAAAGAAAGCACAAGACACTCACCAAAGCCCGGCTCCAAGAAGCAAAGGGAAAGACACACCAGCAGACTGGGTAGCATGAAACATCAAGAAATAACTTTCCTGCACTCTAACCACCGGAAAACAAACCAGTCCTGATGGAAAGAACTGGAGAAAGAGATTGGGAGAGCAAAGGAGAAAGGTTTAACCCTGAGTAGTCAAGCACAGGTGAGGCCCTGGATTTGATCCCCCAATACCACCAATGCTTGTGGTATGAAACAAACAATGCATGTGTGAACAAGCAATTCACAAAGTAATGAAAACACTCTGCAGACATGCATGATGCTCGCCTGCCCACAGGGAGCCAAGGAAGACATGCTCACTGACAGGCGGGTCAGGCACGGGAGATGTGGGGAGGGTCCAGCGTGTGCTCTCGACCTGGATCCCCGACACTGGGTGGGAGTCAAGCACTACTTCATGTGGGAGGGAGGGAGGAAAGAGGGAGAGAGGGAGGGGGCAAGAAAGGAAGGAGGAGGGAGGGAGGGAGAGAGGGAGGGGGAGGGAGGGAGAAAGGGAGGGGGAGGGAGGGAAAAAGGGAGGGATGGAGGAAAGGAGGGAGGAAGGAAGGAAGGAAGGAAGGAAAAGAAGGAAAAGAAGGAAATAAAGGAGGGAGGGAGGGAGGGAGGAAGGGAGGGAGGGAGGGAGGAAAGGAGGGAAGGAAGGAAAGAAGGAAGGAGAGAAGGAAGGATTTTTTTCTCCACTCTTCAATGTCTTGTATCACTTGTATCACTAATCATCCTGCTGCTCATCGATTTGCTGGAGTGAGTGCCAGTAACGTCACCATTCGTCCCTGTCGAATGCTAGTGTAGCCCAGTGGCGGAACACAAAGAGCCTCAAACCGTTCCTTCAAGGTTTTGACGAAGAAGTTTGACCATCTAGTAGGTGGGCAGCCACGCGTTCTTTTGATGTCCTATAGAATCCAGTCGGTAATGGCTCTAGTCCAGCAGTCATCTCTAAATTGCATTACCTGTCCGGCCCATCTAATTCTCGACACCTTGGCAAACGAGACAGCATCCCTGATTCTTGATCATCAATGGAGGTCAGAACTCCGGATTCCTTCCCTTACTTGAGTGAAATGTGATATTCCAACCATAGCTCTTTTAATTCCTCTTTGGGTTATCTGAATAGCATTCTCATCCTGTTTTCATAGAGCCCAGGTCTCTGAGGCAAATGTTAGTGCAGGAAGAACGGTGGAGTCGAAAAGATGTGCCCGGAGCTAGAGGTTCTTTGTTTTCTTAACCACTTCTTCAACGCTCTTGAAGGCATTCCACGCCACTCTCTTCCTCCTGCGCAGTTCAGGTGCCAGTTCGTTTGTCATGTTGAGTTCTCGACCTAGGTACACATAACTGCTGCAATCAGAGATGTTTATTCCATTGAGAGCAAATGGAACATCAGGAACTAGTCCGTTTCTCATGAATTCATTCAATGTCTTACAATGTTTAAAAAGATGCCGGGTGAAGTCTTCCCAGGTCTGGGAGCCGTTTCTTTCATGTGAGGGGCTATGACAAGGGGCTGGTGAAGTGTACTGAGGACCTAGATACCCTGCATCACTTCCAGAATTCTTTCCCAGGATGCTCACTCAGAGCCAGGTGGGCAGTGAGAAAGAGGAAGCCTCCAGGTCCCCAAGGTAGGTACCTGAGATGAGTGAAGGCACATCCTCACACACACACATAAACCAGACTGTGCACATGGGTGCAGGCATGCCTGTGCATATGCACAACACACACTGAGGCAAACATGTCACACACATGTGACCAGACATGCACACGTGGATGTGGAGCTGCATGTGCACAGCATGACACACGTGACAGTGACAGACATGTGTGCACAGGTGTGGGCATGCAAACACAGCACATATGAATATGGTCACACACTGATGTGGACATGCACTGAGTGTGTACAGTGTGCACAGATGTGGACATCGCAGGCATAGACACACACGTGCAAATCTGCATGCCAACACATGGACATACCTGGAGACACACGTGCATACCTGCATGCTCACAGCATGCACACACGTGGACAGAAACAAACACACTGTGCAGTGTGCACAGATGTGGAGAGACATACACCCAAATGGACATGCTCACAACATACATGCGGACAGATGTGAAAACACGTGTTGCTTACAGTACGCACACACACATGTACCCTCTGCCCAGCACATGACACAGTCCCTGTGTGTGACAAGCTTCGGAGTCGCAGGGACAAGCTGAGTCTCAGGGATGATCCTGCCAGCGTCTGCGTCCCTTGTGAGGGGCCCATGGGTGTTATCAGCGACAGGAGAATGCGGACACATCATGCTTTGGATTTCCCAGAGTACCAGGGCAAGAGGTTCTTCCTTCAGCCTTCCTGGAAGTTTCTGATCCTGAGCACTGATATGCACCTCTAGCTGGTCCAGAGCACAGGAGAAACCCGTCATGCTGGAAGTGTGGCCTGTGTGGACCAGTGTATCTGGCATCCTGGCACCTGGGGTAAGACTGTCCCTGCACAGGTAAGGACAACCCTAGGCCAACCCTCACCCTGCCACAAGAAGCACTGAGGCCCCCAGGCCCTCCCTCCAGCATGTGAACCCCACCATACTCTTCCCTCCTCCAGCAGTCCTGAAGTCCCCAAGGCTCTGCTTGCAGAACCTCTCCCTGTCCCCTGGAGAAGTGGGGGGGAAATCATTAGCACCCCTGCAGGGAAGCAAAGCAGCCTCAAGGCCAAAGGCTCTGAGTTGAATGGAGGAAGCAGAGTGCTGGCAGGTCTCTCCACCGGCCTGGGGCAGAGCGCACTCTCCAGTGTGATGTCAGGACACAGAAGAAAGGGCCCAGCAGACAAAACACAAATGGCTCAACAGCCAGGGTCAGGCAAAGAGGGGAAAGAAACAAACATGAGCCGCTGGGGGGCAGGAGTGGTCCTGCATGCCCAAGGCCCCGGGTTCAATCCCTGGCACGCCCAGACCCCAGCACCCATGGGTGGATCCTGAAGCTCCCTGAGTCTGACCTGGGTACTGATGTCGGTGGGCCCCACGGGTGACTTATATGAAGCGGGGAGGAGAAAGACAGTCACTTTCTCCCCATCCGCCTCGGCCACTCGGGACCCAGAGTTGCTGGGTTCTTGTCTCGCCTCGCAGAAAGGAATTTCAGGAGTAGACAAGCAGTGAAGTAAATAGATTTTATTTGGAGGATTTTTAGGTATGGAGGGAGGGAGAGAGAGTGAGAGAGTAAAGTTAGACACGAAAGCATGAAAGTACACATCTCAAGAGGGGAGATGCGGGCGACACATGTGCTCGGGCACCACATGTGCTCGGCCACGTGGGCACAAGCAGCACAAGGGCTCGGGCAGCAAATGCGCGCGCTTCCTTTGTTCAAGGTGGCCTTTATAGGGTTCCTCCAACCTGCCCCCCCCCCCCCCCCCCCCCCCCCCCCCCCCCCCGGGGCTTCCTCCCAGGTAAATGTCCCGTTGCTAAGGAGGTTGCCAGGGAGGATGGGAGTGGTGATGGTCTTCTTTGAAATTCCTTTCCTGGCCTTTTGTTCCTAGAGGAGCTTTTTTGGGTCTGTTGCTGGAGCCAGGTGAGGGTCTTATCAAGCCTTAGTTCCTGTTTTCCTATTTTCTGCAGGGCTGGCTTTTGTCCTTGCCTCGGGAGGGGGCCCTCCCTGTCTACCTGCCTACATCAGGTACCACTAGCCTGGGTACACACAGCTGGATGTGATCCATAATTTAACTTTTTTGGTATTTTGGGGTACATCTGGGCTGGAGAAATAGCACAATGGTAGGGCATTCGCCTTGTGTGCAGCAGGCCCAGCCGATCCAGGTTCGATTCCTCTGCCCCTCTCGGAGAGCCCGGCAAGCTACTGAGAGTATCTCGCCCACACAGCAAAGCCTGGCAAGCTCCCCGTGACGTATTCGATATGCCAAACACAGTAACAACAAGTCTCACGATGGAGACGTTACTGGGCCGGCTCGAACAAATCGATGAACAACGGGAGGACAGTGAGAGTGACAGGGGTACATCCAGCAGTGCTCAGGAATCCCTCCTAGCAGTGCCCAGGGCTTACTCCTGGTGGTGCTCAAGCATCATTCCTGGTGGTAGTCGAGGGTCCTAGTGATCTAGGGATTCAAACTGGGATCAGCTGCAGGCAAGGCAAGTGCCTTAACCTTGTCCCATTTCTCTGGTCCCAGTCCGACAATTTTTTTTTAAGTGAATGAAAGCTATTCACATGAAAAGGAAGTAAGAAAATTTCTGATTGGGTGAAATCAGAATTCCTGTAGCTAGATCCTGTAGCTAGAAACAGCCAGCTATTTGCTAAAAAAAACTTCTGGCAACTAATACATGAGCTCACCAGGGCTGC